ACAATGATTGTTTGGGCAGAAATAATTTCTTTGTTTTCGTTTCAAAAGTTAGATATCTCTGGAACCAATGAGGCGAATTGCACTTATGAGCTGTCATTTTGCCGGGCTCGTCATCCCGTTCCAGATGAACCGAGTGGCTTTGCCCACCCACCTCCTCATCCATTAATTAATCCCGCATACAATGCAAACAAAAATTCCACAAAAAATGAATTGAGACAATTTTACCGTCATCCTTTAAAGAAACGGGCCGAGTTGTGAAGAATCATGGATGCTCAATGTCATTGATGTATCATCATCAATAAGACGAATTTTCTTCGATCAAGTGCTAATAAAACGCCTGAACAATGAATTCCAAAACAATGATTCCATTGTTCGCAATGAAAAGTCCAAAAACAAAGCTTCATTTCTCCCTGCGAATCCTCCAACCATCGATTTTTTAGTATATCTTTCCAATATATTTCATATCTGAAATTGTGCGGAAGATTGGTTTCGATTAGGTCAACCTGTGTGCCAACAACACGAAGGGAAAATCCACCGTCTGAGCTTAAACTCCGTCGCGACACACGAGAGTGGTTATTATACGATATAAGAGAGAAACGCTTCGAGCAATGTCGTGTAGAGACCTGAGCGGAAGGAACGTAATTTCCAGCTTCGACTATGATGTTTTTTCCCCCCAATTTTTGTTCTTTTTACTCTTAAAGAAAAATGCAATCCACGAGAAAATTTAGTTTTCGAGAAAATTGAAAAGTCCAACGATAACTTTAAACTCTGAAACTTTATGTTTCACAGACTCTCTAATTCTAGGTGAATTTATGTCATTTGTTGTTGGAATTTTTGTCCCATCTGAGAAAAATATTTTGAATTACGCGAGGGACGCTGAATTATCCCCGGGAATTCCATCCGCGATAAAATGGATATGGACACAAATGCAATTTCGTGAAAGCCACGAACACTTCCTCTTGGGCCGGAACTCACTCTCCAAAACGATCAAAATGCTTCTCCCCCCATTCAGAACATATTACAGTAAAATTGTGCGACAATTACGGAAGATTAGACAAGGCTTAATGGAACAATTCTGTGTGCATCATTCGTTCGTTTTATCACCAATCCTATTTCATTTCGTTACAAATTTATCCAATATCCTTCATTGATCTACGAATGATTGTTTTAGTTGATTGGGGTGACTGTTCGCAATCATGGCATCTGTTTCACTCGTCCAAATAACTGAAATGAGGAATCTTTGGTTTTTGACAAAAATGCTTAGTCCGACGTGTAGATTCACGCGACTCCTTTGATCCAGATCTCCTCGAGAATAACCTCAATTATTCATAAAATCATTTCGACCTCATCAACTCAAGAACCCGTGGTTTCTCGAGCCTGTTAATTTTCCAAATAGAGGGTTATTAACTAAACCCTTAGGTTTTCATACAATCTATTACAGTAAAATTGTACGACAATTACGGAAGATTAGACAAGGCTTAATGGAACAATTATGTATGCATCATTCGTTCGTTTTATCACCAATTCTGTAGCATTTCGTTACGTATTTGTCCAATATCCTTCATTGATCCCTGGGTTATTACACTCAGCACAAATCATTAGAGATGAAAATATCAGTTATTCCTCGGTTTGGAAACCAAGCGGAAACAATGGCACAGAGTAAACTCAATTTCCTCCATTAATTATCAAATTATGAAGGCTCGTAATTAACAAATTGTTACTAACCCATTTTCTCGGGAACTGGTTGAGGTAACGGGATTCGATTTTACCTTCATCCATTAGTATCGACGCTGCAGCCATCTTCAATCGAGGCCAATGTAAGCGTACAAAAAAATTATACTTCAACTCCATCCGCAAGAGCGAAAATCCTCCAGCACTCTGAATGCTTTTATAATCCCGATTAATCCCACGATTCATCAGAAATATTCACCACAATTATCAGCCTTTGATTTGCATCGAAAGGAACGAGGTACAATTAGTTCGAATTACCGCATATTTTCGCTTCATCGCTTCGTTTTCCAGTTTCACCATCGATAATCCGATTTGCCACCTTCCCCCACCTGCGTTGTCAGCCCCCCCTTCCCCCTCCTCTTACCCACGGTAATCTTCCTCCTTTGGTTAACTTCTTTGCTCGTTCCGCGATTAACCTCGAAGAAGAAAGGATAGGAAAATAAGAGAGAAGGCATCCTCAACGATTTATCGAATTTTCACCTGAACGGATGTGCCGTCGAGGGAATTGTGAAGGTGGCTAGCGAGGGGGTGAGAGGGTGCTTGGCACCGTCGATGGGGATTTTCAACAGGAGCCCATCACCCCCGGTGGTGATGAAGAGAGACAATGGCTTCAATTATCCTCCGGGTTCCGCATTCGCTCACCAAGTGCCAACCTTTCCCCGTTGAATGGAGGGACACCTGGATTTTAGAGTTGGATTATAATCGATGTATCATTCGATTCTATTAAGTCGAAATTCAATCCTGAGGCTTTCCAATCTGAATCGTTCATCTAGTGAATTGAAATTTCGTCACGATTCAGCTGAAGTCATTTTAATAAATCTCGGGGTTTAGAGTTTTGGAGCTGATGGTTTTTTGGAGTAATCAACATGTTCGATTGGGGGATGATGTCATTAACGTTGGAATCAACGGATGATTGTTCTGGTTGATTGAGGTGACTCTGTTCGCAATCATGATGTCTGTTTTCTTCGTACAGATAGGTGGGATGACGAGGCTTTTGTTTTTGATGAAAACTTTTAGTCCGAGGTGTCGGCTCACGCGGTTCCTTTGATCCTGATAAATCTCCTTGGGAATAACTTCAGTTATTCATAAAATCATCCCGGCCGCATCAACTCATGAAGAACCCGCGGTTTCCCGATCCTGTTAGTCTTCCGAATAGAACCTTATTAATTAAACACCGCTGGTTTCCCACATTTCATCAATGGCTTCAATTATTCCTTGGGCTCCATATTCGCTTACTAGTGGTCAAACGAAAGCGGCTTTCGCCGGCAAACGAAAAGACTTTAGAGTAAAATTATAATCGATCAGTAACGCTCTTCATTCAAATTCCATTACGATTCTAGCGAAGTAATTGGAATAAATCTGGGGTTTTGACTTTTAAAGGTCTTTCGGATTAATCAATAGATATGCTTGGGGGGAGGTGATTAACGTGATTGGGGTAACTCTGATCGCAATCATGACGTCTGTTTCACTCGTCCAAATAGTTGAAATCACCAATCTTTTGTTTATGACAAAAACTCTTAGTCCAAGGTCTAGGTTCACACGACTCCTTTGATCCTGATAAATTCCTCGAGAATAACCTCAATTATTCATAAACTCGTCCCGACCTCACCAACTCATTAAGAACCCGTGGTTTTTCGAGCCTATCAATTTTCCAAATAGAAGCTTATTAACTAAACACCCCAGGTTTTCCACATTTCGCCGCGAAATTCTGCCTCCAGCGACATTGCATGACTAACTCTACTGCAAAGCCAAATCTCCCTCCTCGCCCTCCCCACATCACCTGCTCAAAAAGCCGCTGAGAGGGTGGGGGTGGGGAAGCGGTGGTTGACATTATCCTTATGGGCATGATTAGTAGCCGCGATACCACCCAGGACGCCTGATGTATTCGCAGTGCGTTATCTGCGAACGGCACGAGTCGCATTATGCCACACCCGCCCACCTCCCTCCCCCTCCTCCACTCTACCTCGTCATACTACGGCGATGTCATCTACCTTCAGAGCGACAGACAAAAGGTCTTTGTCACGGTCGAATACTCAGACTGACATATCACCAAAGCCGGATGATAAAAGTACTCCCGAAGCATCATTCACATATTCGACTGATGCTTCTCAATGGTGAAACATGTCAGTTGCCTACTCCCCCCCATCAAAAAGCGCCAAACGCATTGAGAATTAATATTTACCTCGCCAACGCACAGTGAATAATCGTGAAAAGTCTATTTTTTTTAAATTGTCAGTTTGCTCACAGTTCATATTCCCAATTGCACCAGCCACAGGCAAAAAAAACATTCGAACTGTTGACACAAAAAATTTTGTCTCTCATGCGGAATGAAAATGCAAAAGAACAAACGATTTTTGGGTATCCAGGTCATGTGGAAAATTGTTCCTGTGGAGGACATATTTTCAACAATGCTGTGTTTCTCTCACCACATCCTCGGGTATCTCATATTTCTCAATAAATAATAGGAACACACGGTGCACGAGACGAGGTAACTCATTAAATCGTCTAGCTGAATCAGTACCAAAGGCATTTCCCTACTCAACGACAAATGTAGCTGATAACGAGAAATGAGTAATGAAGGGGGGGAGGGTGTATGTATGGTAGCCTAGTCCTACACCAAGTTCAGAGTATTAACCCGAGAAGTGCCTACCAGAGTCAGTGTACCACATACAAGCCTTCAACTATCACTCTCATACTCCAACCCATCCCCTCCCCCCTCACCCACCTCATCTTTCGTTTAATCCTACTCTAATGACGTGCCGTTTTTAGCACGTAATACCAGTAGACAGGGCGGTAATGATTTCGCCCCGGAGCACGGATTCTCCTCACTCGCCTATCTTTTTTTCCTCACTCCATCCTCACTCAACATTTTCCATCCTCCTTCTGCCTTTTATATTCTACCAACCAGGCCGTCTCTCCCGCCAGGTGCCATTTCATGGGAACGGGGATTAGTTACTTTCTATCCGACGACGTGCCTGGGAGACCACAAGCATCAAGGGGAGATGGTGGAAAAAAAAAGATTGTGGAGGTAATCGGTGATGATACCCACTGGCCTACATTATATGACACTAGGTGATAAAATGGTGAATTCAGTCTTCATGAATTAGCTTTAGAAGGAATTCTGATTAAGGATTCGGATTTTTGTCCCTCATTGTTTACACCTCCTCCAATGACAGCGAAGATGATCCTTTTAATCAAGTACAAAGCAATGATTGTGGGCTTCGATATATCCAAATGATCTAATTTGTCAAATCTCTTTATGCTTTCAGAATCCAACGAGCGGATTAAAATGGAGCATCCTCCTTCTAACGACAGTATGCCTCATCACAACAGCCCAATCCGGCTTCTGCCCAACAGACTGCACCTGCGACGACGACACCCTAGTTGTATCTTGCATAGGAGTTAGCTTAGACGTAATCCCAATTGCCCTTAATCCATCAACCCAACGGATAGTCTTGAAGGAGAGTAGAATACGTATGGTTGATGCAGCTGCATTTCAATTCTACGGTGACTTGAAAATTGTTGATCTTTCGAGTAATCATCTTGTAACAATACCAGATGCTAGTTTTGCTGCGCAAAAGAATCTCGTTGAACTTCACCTGAGGCACAACAAGATATCGGCATTAACAGAAAAGACATTTCAGGGATTAGTATCGCTAACAGTGTTAAATCTCCGTGACAACTACTTGGAGACCCTGTCAAATGGTCTATTTACTTCTCTAACAAAACTAGAGGAACTAGATCTGGGTCAGAATAGAATAGGCAAGGTTGAGCCTGGTGCATTTCAAAAGCTTGGCTCACTGAGAGTACTCTATCTTGATGACAATCAGCTCAAGTCCATTCCATCACCGGCATTAGCACCCTTAAATGCACTTGCTGAACTACATATTGGATTGAATGTATTCTCATCCTTACCGGATGATGGTTTCAAGGGTTTAGAGAGACTTGCTGTACTCGATGTCATGGACGCTGGCCTGGATAATATCAGTGAGGGTGCATTCCGTGGATTAACGTCATTACGTACACTCAAACTTGGTGGTAATAAGTTGAGAGAAGTGCCAACAAAACAATTGTCGATATTAACGAGACTCGAGGAGTTGACACTGGGACAGAATTCATTTACGATGCTGAGGTCTGGGGCATTTCAGGGTCTCTCAAATCTGAAAAAACTCGATATATCGGGGGCTAAATTACTGACAACCCTAGAACGGGGGACATTCTCGGATAATGGTAATTTGGAGACACTGATACTCAAGAGCAATCGAAGACTGACGACCCTCGAGGAGGGTGCACTGGCGGGACTTCCTAATTTGAGACACTTGATCCTTCGGGACAATGCGTTTGTCACATTCCCGGAGAGTCTTGTTTCATGGAGTGAGTTGCACAAGTTTGACATCAGTGAGAATCCACTGATATGTGACTGTAGTTTGCACTGGTTGGCTTCGTTCCTGGCGCCCAAGAATACGAGCGCGGTTGTGTGCGCTGAACCGTTGGAGGTCAGGCTGAAGCCGTTGAAGGGAATGACATCTGATGAATTGGGCTGTGCCTTCTCAGACCCCAGGAAGCAGGCGGTACTGCTGACTGTCATTGTCGTGTGTCTTGGCATCATCGCTGGTATGGCACTGGTACTCTACTACAGATGCAGGAAGAGGGTCAGAGATGCCCTCAAGGACTACAAGTGGAAGAATCGTGCCATCTCCAGGAAGGAGCACGAGTATCAGAAGACATTCTCAGATGATGAGTATATTGTCAGAGCGGCTCATGGACATCATCATCATATTAACAATCAGGGACAACTTCATCATGGACAATTTCCACAGCAACATCAACAGGTATCGTCAGGCATAAAATCCATACCTGTTACGGAACTGTAGCTAGAGCTACGGGCAGCGAGCCCTGGTAATGGTGGTGTTTGGTTTTTACCACATGGTGGTACAACACCTGCCGAGGGCTTCACTTATATCGATGGTGAAACGGCGCGACAAATGCGTCGTACTGGTACGCTGCCCGGTAGTAATAATCAACGTACTAATACAATTTTTTGTGATGGACAGAGTGAAATTATCGATGGAAGTAATACAATTGGTAATGGTGGGGTTAGGGTACATCATACTAGCCATTCGTTGAGGAGAAATCCACCTGCACTGCCGGCGCGCGGTGATTTGGATAGAATACAAAATGGTGGTCCCAGTGGGAGAATTCAAAATGGCGGACAGAGGCACTCACCACCCTGTCCACAGAGTTCATATCCAACGTTGCCCATTAATGGACATGGACATCATTATCATCATTATAGGGAGAGATCGAGAGAGAGGGGGAGGGAGAGGGAGAGGGAACTTCCGATTGTGCCACACAGGGGGGAAAAACAATACAATGGGAATATGGAGCTTGAGGTACATCAAGATGGCGGCATTGGAACTTATCGGGCGTAAAAGTGTGGGAATTTTGCGTTGAGTGGGATAATCAGGGGGGGGGGAGGAGGAGGAGGAGTGGTGGGGTCGATGGGCGGGAAAATTTCCGGTTTGAAGCACCTCAAAAAACATTTGGCGGGAATTTTTTTAGGTTAAGAGGGACAGACAGTGCTTAAAATTTTTGGAAATTTTGCTGGCTCTTCCGTGGCCCATGAGATTCATTTTGACCACTCGATCGATAAATTCTAAAGACACTTTTACTGCCATAAAATTTGTTTCTTTTTTTTTTATAAAATCGAAGACTGATGGATTTTTTGGTTATGTTGAACGTTGGGAGGGTGATTTTTCTGAGGCAGCTCATGGACAACTGGGAGGTTATGGAAGACTGAAAGACGTCCTAATGTGATACGCCATTTACCGAGAATTTCAAAAAAATGACAAGTTTCGTTGGTTTATGGGGAAAATTATAATTTTGACGTTTTTTGCACGTTTTTTTATGATGTATTTTGTGCGATTGACAAAATGGCGTCTCCTCGGTGTTCTCAACTTCAGTGATGCATCATTGGTGTTTTTTTGTGTAAGAGAAGATAAAACATAAAATTTGTAAACTTTCCTGTAAGTTCGATAGTGAGATGAGAAATGTAATGAGTGGAAAAATGAAATCTCATTATCTAGAATTTCCTGGAACTTGATGGAAGTAATTATTTGGATGTACCTTGAACCATCAAAAGAAGAATGAGAATTGATAATGTGCGAGGTACCTCGACCATTTTTTTTTCATATAAATAATATATAAAAGTATATATTCTAAACTGTCGAATTATTTTCTCAAAAATGATGACAAAAGAGATGTGACAAATGACTAAGGATAACACCATTGTTTCTAGCGAAGGGAGATACAAAAAATTGAACAAAAGAGGTTAGGATTAATTTTAGGAGAAATGCCATAGTATTTACGCATACTTGTGTATACCAGTGTTCATAAAAAAAATTGATCAAATTTGTGCGACGGTTTTACGATCGTCTGGCCGGAAAAATTTCTGCTTCGAAACCCTACAATTGAACCTTTTTTTGGCCGATTCCGTTGGGAGTTGCGGCGCCGCGAAAAAAATGGCGGGCGATCTTTGTCGATCGATATCTCAGGATCTAGGGGATTATGAGGGGTCGATAGGGGGTGTTTCGCGACGGAAATTTTCCCGGCTAAACGGTGAGACACTTTTCAAGGTCGATATCGATGGTTAGAAAAAACGAAATGGCGGGCTACCGGTTTTGACGAGTTTTTCGGGCGTTGAGAGGGGGGAATGGCTTAACTACTGTCTTTGCGCGCTTCTTGCCATGAGTGTACACACCGGAATTCCACCGGCCATCTTGAAAACCGAGGTGACTGCACCTTGAACCACACAGATCTCGACTCATTCCTCTCTCCCAACTCAGTGGGAGACCTTCGTACGACGAAATATCATCTCGTGTATTCCGCAATGAAACTTGACAATGACAAAGGACGAAGTAGAAGTAACACTTCGAGGCAAATTGGAGGGGAAGAAAAATTTGTAAAATTTATTTGACAAAAAAAAATGGAAATTCAATTTCCATTACTTATTTATTAATTTATTTCGCTATTTAATTATCTTCATGGAGTATTAAAATTTACTGGGGAAATTTAATAATCCCTGGGAGTTTATGATCCCCATTCTCTCGAATTTATCTCAAAGTGCGTCGTAAAAAAAATCTTAATACGATGATATAAAGTGATAATTAAAAGTCACTCACCGTAAAAAAATAATATAAACAATTTTTTAATACACCATCTGTTGCATTACATGCGGGCGGGTACCCGGAGAATCGTAAAACCGTTGATGCAGGGGGATTTTGAGAAATTCAGAATGAGGGGATATTGGGATTAACAAAATGTAATTATTGATTGATGGAGAGGATCATTGATAAAGCGATAAAACGTGATGAGCAGCGGAAAAAAATGTATTTCGTTTGTATCGCGGGAACGAGTGGAGCTAGGGAAAAATGTCATAAGACATTTTTTGTGGGAAATTGCATTCTCTACAAAAAATTTCTTATCACTTTTTCCCCTAAATCCACTCATCTCTGAGATAATCCCATATTTCTGCTGCACGTTTTATCGATTTATCAAAATCACATTAAGAGTTTGTAAATTTTAAGAATTACGGTAGAGCGAATTCGCATCGTGTTTATGGTGATATATACACGTGTCGTTAATGCTAGTCAAGTGAGATAATGCAAGATCATTGAATGAGAAACGACAAGAGAAGTAATTCAATGAAAAATTGATCGACAAATTCATTCGGCGAAAATGAAATTCTCGTTGATAAAATTAAATTATTGTACAGAAGAGAGAGAGAGAGAGAAGCGGTGAAACAAGAGGGAAATTAATCTCTTGTTTCTTTTCTATATCGTCCCTATAACGATGATGCATCAATGTAATTTGTAATTGATTGATTAATTAAATTAATTATATACGAGAGGGGGGGGGATAATTGAAATTTCATATTAATAATTACATATTAAAATGAATAATAATAATTGACTACACGTAACTCTTGTATGTCCTATGCACTTGAATTTATTGTCCTTCCACAATTCCTATTTCCTGCATTCGATGAAGGTGGAAATTGTCGATTTTTCGTGTTCCTCTGATGTTTCATCTTCTTGGTCATGGGTGATTGAATGACACGGGGCAGAATTGTTTGTGTGGGAAGGGAATTTCGGAGATCGTGTGGGCGAGGAATTTTTTGGTTGAGCGGGTGTAAATAATTTTTTTTATCTTTGGTAATCGGGGATTTAAATCGAGGGAATTCATTATTGTAAATCAATAGAATTTCGTTTTTTAATTGGATAAAATTGAATTTTTTTATCGATGCAAATGATTTTTTTATAATCGATAAAAGAAATCGACGAAAACATTGATACCAATATAATTGAAAGTTTGAACAAAATTATTACAAAAGTCATCCCTCTAAAAATAAAATATTCCAAAAAATCTGTTCGACACGAAGAAAAAAAAATCACATGAAAAAATGAAAAACTATTTAAAAATCATTGCAAATAATTTTGAAAAGTCACTCTATGAATTCCCTCGGTGTCCACTCGATTGTAGAATCCTCACTCTTCATTCCACTGAAAGAGAGAATGAAAACGTTTAAAAAACAAAAAGTCTAAGGTTTTCACTGTAGACGTAACTTTAGACGTTTGCCCTCGAGGCTGCAATTTAATCTGAACCTTGAGCTCTCTCAAATTATTAATAACAAAAATGTCTGGTGCACTTTCTACCGTTCAATTACACCTGGGGAAAGTCATATCAGTTTTCCCACAACACATTCCATAATTTTTTCTATTTATTATAATCGCTTTTGCGATATTTTTTCTACTTTCACTTGACCCCGGTGGTGGAGTGTGAATTTTGATAACTGTGAGATTATCTCTGAAACGAGTGGCTTCATCGAAAAATGTCAAAAGAACTTATTTGCAGGGAATTAAATTCCCAAAAGAATATGTTCCGCGACATTTTTCTCTAAAATAATTCCTTAGCGAGATAATTTCACTTTTAACAAGGGTACGCCCAATATACTCAATCAGAATTCGTCTTTTTGTTTCGGTTTGTGCCCTAAATTTTTAATTTATCTAAAAAATTATTGGTCTTTGGAAAAATATCGTACAACCTTTTTCATAGAGGATTAAATTTCTGATAAACAATATTTTGTCACATTTTTTCCTAAAACCTTTCCTCATTGAAATAAACGCATATTAAAGAAGATAACAAAAAGTTAAAGTTCAACTTTCTGGTAATTTCCTGTTCACAAATTTTACATTTATGTAAAAAACGTGTCGTTTTAAGAGAAAATGTCATAAAATCTTTTTTATAGAGAATTGAAATTCCAGCAAAAAATCTCTTGAGACGTTTTCCCATAACACAATTCCGTATCGAGATAACTTCATATTTAACAAGAGAATCAAACGTAATCAGTGAGAACTGAACTTTTTGTTTCGGCCTGAGTCCTATATTTTTAATTTATCTCGAAAATAAGTGATTCCAGGAAAAAAATTAATATTTTCTCCCAGAACTTCTCATCCCGAGAAAATCCCACATTCTATAAACCTAGACCTGTTCTGTTTTACTCTCCTATTAAATTTTTTCATTCCACACCCGCAAATTGCAAACAAAAAAAAATCAAAATTCTTTCTGCCTCGAGGACAGTGAACATGTAAAAATATGTAACAAAGATGCGAGAGTGATCCCTTCTAATCCTCTCCACAAAAAAAAATCAAGAAAGAGAGGAGAATGAAAATACCAGACTCCTCCCAAGATTTTTTCTTAAAAAAAAAAGAAAAAAACGTTGTAAATATAAAACCGTAAGTTTATCTGCGTAAATACGAAGGAAGAGAGAATATTGTCCCTCCTAATAACTAGCTGTACTTTTGGGCTTGAATACCAAGTAAAAATAATAAATGAGAGAGAGAGAATGGTGAGAAAGAGAGCGGGCGATGAGGGGATGTTATAAATATTATACATAAACGTATAAATAAAGTATGTAGGCTAAATGGGATATTATAATGTTATAGGTATATTTCCAGCATTATTTTGTACATAAATGACTTTATTGGAAATCATCAATAAATCTATATAAAAAAAATTTACTTTGCTTAATTAACCCATCAATTGATTATCCATAATGAACAAATAGATTACTAATTATGAATGTGTAATTACGAATGCACCCACAGGACACAGGGGTTTTCCATACATTTATTTTTACGAAGAAATTTCTGAGACAGCTCGATACAGGAGGAACTCTTCGAGTTTATAATTTTTGATTTTTTAGAATTTCCGGAGAAATTCATTTTTCTTCTGGGCTTTTAATTTGATTAAAGAACTAGGGATCAATGTAATTTATTCAAATTCTTGGAGATTAGTAGTTGTGGATGCGGTTGGGG